AAGCCTTGTTGCGGCCGGAACAGGCGCTGGCGGATTTGGAGGTGATGGAGGGGATCTTCACGAGCCATGGGGCGCGGGTTGACCTACGACTGCAATAGATAATAAAATAGTCGGTGGCGAGTAGAGCAGTAGGATAGACGCATAAGGTCGGTCCAAGACAAATAAGATTAGTCATGTGCATGATAGAGCGGCATCCATGGTCGGGACTAACCCGATTGAGACGGCGGCAGTCAAGGGCACGCGGGGCGAGCCCTAACACACGGAAGGGGTTAGTCTCGCTTAGCGAAGCCACTAGGGCGAGTCTTGCTCGGGCGGCCAAACCTGAAGCGCGAAATCTCGAGACCGAATTTCGACCCCTACGACAACTCCCAGCGCCAGCCCGCGAGAAGACGACAAGGTATGTGTTGCACGATTGCCGTTGGTCTCACTGCATACTGACTTGGGATTTGTTCAAGATGGTCCTCGCAAAGAAGCACGTCCCCATCGTCAAGAAGCGTACGTTTGCACCTTGTCCTAATATCCTCACCCACCATGAATATATCCTGCCGGGAGTCGAAGTTCAGCCATCAGTCGATCGGTCCTTGGTAGCCAGCCAGCAATCGTATTACAGCGACACGGAAGAAGGACAATTGCAACGAGGAAGAGAACGAGGAGGATGATCTGGATACGAACGATGGTTGATCACGAAGGAGGATTCGATTTCTGAATGGAATGAGCGATTCGGACGACCAATTCTACTAGTCGAATGCACCGACAGCTCGACACGACAGCTTTGAGCACGCCGCAAAACGCATGCACGCAAATCATCACTGGCTTCCGAAGGACTGATTTACCTGGAAAACTCGAACCTGAGCTATCTCCCGAGGGCGAACCCAACCCACCGAAGCACATCATTATCACCCACGAGGGGACAAATTTCGTTGACAATCTCCCGCTTTTACAGGCACCAAGCGTTTCTTCCGCCACCAGTCCGACCGCTTCAAGTGCGTGCCGGAGTCATGGCGCAAGCCCAAGGGTATCGACAACCGCGTCCGTAGACGCTTCAAGGGCAACATCCCCATGCCCTCGGTACGTCGCTTTCCTTGCCACGGATTGCGGAGCCCTCGACTAACAGGCCATTTCCCATCAATAGATCGGTTACGGAAGCAACAAGAAGACCAAGCACATGATGCCCTCCGGCCACAAGGCTTTCCTCGTCCACAACCCCAAGGACGTCGAGCTTCTTCTCATGCACAACCGCACCTACGCTGCTGAGTACGTTCTTACCCCCCATCACTGCAGCTTTCTTTTTCCATATCTATCGCAGGACCCAATATACTAACGAAATCCAACAGGATCGCCTCCGCCGTCTCTTCCCGCAAGCGTGTCGACATCATTGCCAAGGCCAAGGCCCTCGGCGTCAAGGTCACCAACCCCAAGGGCCGTGTCACCACTGAGGCTTAAATGGATTTTTTTTTATTTAAATCAAAAAAGAAGAGAACCTATTTATGGAATGATAATGTAAAGACTTTCCCAAACCTGCTGCTCCCGAACCCACCTTTCTCTGTGCCCCCACTCCAACCCTCATCTCGACGATCTGGAATTTATAAATCAAACACTTACATGATCGATGAGGAAAAAAGACCATGAATACCAATATCATCTCCATGAATACACCACCTCTTGAAATATAAAAAAATCCAAACGGGAAAAGCAAGCCTTGACCGGGATCGTGGGTATCAAATCATCTGGGGACTTGACTTTTGTCATGAAGTGATGCTATGATGCTTTGTCTCGTGGATGGGGACGCTAGGCTGTGCTTGTCGTTTCTGTTTATCGAGAAACCCGGGTAATGGTTTGTTTCTTCTAAGTGTGGGGGGCTGCTTGGCTTGATGCAGAGCGATCTAAAGCAAGATAAAGATATGTCAATGCGATGCGCGTGGCTTGGCTGGTGCTGCTGGTCTGGGAATGATTTGTCTTTTTTGGGGGGGAGATTGGGTGTAGGGGCTGTAGTGTAAGGGCTGTAGTGTTGTTTCCTGGTGCTGTTACTGTTACTGTTTCCCTGTGGGGATGTGGTAGACACTCATTTGATGTTGTAGAGATATCCCAAGGCCTAGCGATATGTGTTGCTCTACCGTTGATGCTGGAGTGAGTTGACCCAGTAATGCAGGGAATCCAGATTCTTGCTGAGGGAGTAGTACGAAAAGAAATAGACTGAACTTCTATTGTGATATCATCGCGGTTCTATGTACCAAAAAACAAGATCTATGCTGTGGCTTGCGCTCCAACACCAGTCTCCGCACTAGCGGCGGCAGCAGCAGCAGCAGCAGCAGCAGCAGCTTCATGCGCTTGTCTCTCCGCCGAGATATCCACCAACCCGACCCCCTGGACCAGCGCCGGGATGCCTCCTCCTCGCCTCTCCGCATGATTCTTTGAGTTATCATCGCCATCCCCATCCCCACCGAGCTCCGGCACCGTGCCATACCCGATCACAATCTCCTCGTCCTCGGGGACATCGACCCAGTCCGGCATCGCGCGGGGGCCGTCCACGCCGACGGGGGGCAGGCCCCAGCTCGGCATCTGGCTGGTGTACTTCCAGCCGTCGGGGCCGCTCTTGTCGGCGTACGCGGCCGCATGCAGGAAGATGCCCAGCTCCTCGGGGCTGGGGTCGGTGTACAGCTCGGTGTCGCAGACGGAGCAGCGCTCGCCGGACAGGCGCTCGCCCTTGCGCTTGTGGTAGCGCTCGACGGCGGCCTCGTGCTCGCGGGACATGATCTCCTCGACGACCGAGGCGTCGGTGCCGGGGGGCACGAGCGGCGCGGCGGTGAGATGCGTGCGGTAGCTGTTTTCGCTGCTGTCGGGTTTTGTGCTTGTGCCGGGAGCACCGGCAGCAGCGGCCTCGGCGACGGTCTCGGTCTTGCCCAGGTTCGACAGGCGGGCGATCAGCTCCTGGTCGCGCTCGTCGGAGGTCTCGTTCTTGCCCAGGTCCGGGCCGAAGACTTTGCGATTGCTGTAGATCGGGTCGTTGGAGATCGGATGCCCCAGGAACTGCAGGTGCACGCGGATCTGATGCGTGCGGCCCGTCAGCGGCAGGCAGTGCACGATGCTGTAGCCTTCTTCTTCGTTCGCGTAGATCGGGGGCGGCGTCGCTACCCCCGTCCTTGCCTGCCCTCCAACCTCTCCCGCTGCATCACCATCCCCCGATCCCGCTGCAGCAGCGGACGGAGGAATGTACGCCAACCGGCGGAACTTCGTCTTAGCCTCCTTCCCCGTGGCGCGCACGCGGTTCAGCCCGACCTTGGGACTCACCGACATGATGGGCTGATCGCACACGACCACCCCGTCGGGGAACCGGCCCTTCACGCGCGCCACGTACTCCTTTTGCAAGGTGCGCGCCTTGAGCTTCTCGCACATCATCTCCGCCGCCTTGGGGTGCTTCCCCAGGAACATGACGCCCGAGGTCAGCCGGTCCAGGCGGTTGCAGGGCCGCGGCACCCAGTCCGGGTGCCGCTGGGACCGCAGGATCTCCAGCACCGAGTTGTAGTGGTACCGGCCGGCCGAGTGCACAGGCACGCCGGCCGGCTTGTCGATCACGATCAGGTCGTCGTCCTCGTGGATGATCCCGATCTCCTTGCCTGTCACGGGCGGCTCGTGCCGGTGCAGCGTGTGCGAGATGATCTCGCCGTTCTTGACGACCGTGTGCGGCGTGCCTGGTTTGCCGTTGACGCAGACGAGGCCGGTTTCGAGGGCTTTTTTCTGTCACCATGCGAGATTTTATGTTAGTTGGATGAGGGAATGGAGGGGAGTGGAGGGAAGGGTCACCGTACGTAGTATTCGGCCGGTCGATCGCGGAACTCCGACAGGAAGATGTCCAGCAACTCCCGCCCGCGCCAGCGCTCCTTGCAGTAGGTGTTGTAGGTGTAGTGGTAGGGCTTCACGCGGCGCAGTCCGCCTTCGAAATAGTAGGGAGCCGGCCAGGGGTCGCAGGGAGTCACGGCCACCTCCGGGGGTTCCTGGACCGGGTCCGGAGGCGGCACTTGGAGGGTCGTGTCGACGGGGACAACGGCCATGCTGGACGTCGGGATCAAGCCTCGTCGCAACAGGTGTGCAAAAACGCGAGGTGAGGGAGCCAAGGTCGACGACTGGCGGGGATGACAGGAAAAGAGGAAGAAAGGGGGGTGAGTAGTGTGGGGTTTACGATGAAAGAGATAAGCTCTGCGGCGGCGAAAAATGGCAAAAGAAAAAATTACTAAACTAAAGTCCCGCAGGAAATTTTGGTGGTCCGGGGAAAGGGGGAAACAAGTGGATTTTGAGTTATCGGAATCTATCAAATAACACAGTACGGTAAACCTTTTTATTGACCTCCGAGCTCCCTTTTCAAGACTTCCGCCTACGACCGATAACCCAGTCAACCCACCTAAGATCGAGTCAATTCTGATTTAGCCAAGGTATCATGTGTGTAGGAGCTTACATTTCGTGTAGGCGCGACGGCAGGACAACAGCATCCCCAGATGTATATACCTCAATTGTCCGGTGAACCCAGCCCCGCCTGTAGCACATCCACATTGCCGCTTTGTCGAAGTCAAACGGTATACTTCCCTTGGCTAAGATCTGGCCCAGTACATCAAGAGCCTTGGACGTCAACGCGGAGTGGGAAGGAATGAGCGAAAAGCACCATGGTTCTCGATAGACCTAAAGAATTGACTTTCATCCTTCAAGACTTCCAGCACGTGGTCCATTGTGATCGTATGGATCTTTCCTTGTTTAATAAGATCGCAATGCGCCTATACTCAAATCAGTTTGCAAGAAGCAAGCATAAAACTGAATCCGTTCACTTCCTGGTACAGTACAGTACATACATTGAAAAGGGTATCGACCATGGCGGCCACCATCCCGGGATGCGCACTTGTTCAGCTTATACAAGTAATCCATCGCCGCGCGATCAATCATGAACTCGTCATCGAACCCCCGTGCCGCCCGAAGTACCACAACTTCACGAAATTCGTCTTCGGTGTAAAGCAAGCCAATTTTAAACCGAGTACAGGCCAGGTCGAGGGGCCAGTGTGATATGCGACGCGATACCAAACGTCGTCGGAGTATATGCATAGTCCAGGTCCCTCCAATCCACGCCGGTCACAGGGTGTCCATAGTATGCGAAAAGGCAGATCTTGATATCTCCCAGGCGAAGCCCAGATTGCACGTCCTTGATGACCGTATTCCAGAAGTTCATGTCGCGGTAGGAACCCTGAGCCTCGTCGATCAGAATCACCGTCTTGGCAGGAACCGATGCCCATGTTGGATCGAACTCAGGATCTCGTTGTCGCAGGCGCCAGCCGAACTGAGTCCAAGGGGATCCGGGGGGTGCTTCTTGGCGCCCCCATACAGGGAGGAGATACACGTTGCGATTGTGGTCGAGGTAGTATTCCCGGAGCAATTGGCACAGGACCGTTTTCCCGGTGGCTGGGGTGCCACGCACGAGAACGGCGTTTTCGGAGTCCATCGCCGCGGCGAGCTTGGACACGGTATCCTGGCGCGGACATGTCTATTCATCAATAGCGGTCAGGAGTGAACTCATAGCCTCCGGGGAAAGTGAGTCTGAGTGTTGCATGCTTACAATCGGGGGCATGGGATCGCGTGTACTCATTTTGCTGGTAGATTGCTGGAAGAGGGTGGCTTTCCTGTGAAGCGTCGTTGGCGCCCTCGTGGGGAATCGAAGGAGCAGGAACAGGATGAGAAGCTGAGGGAGAACTCATGCTTTGGAAGGTGAGCTGGACTCACTTGTTGTAGAGAATATCTGTGAGATCGGTTGTGTCTCTTCTCCCCTCTCCCTGAGTTGCTTCCCTCACATATACCTTTCCGCTCCTTTCTCGGGGTTGCGGGGTGTAGGATGACAACAAGTTGATGTGGGAGCCGACAGTGGTGAAAGTAAACTGTAACCAAACAGGATTTCATGCGAAGCACCAAACACCGGAGATGTGAGAAGTAGTTCGCGAAATAGCAATGCTCTGCAGAATACGATGACTCTCAAGGGCAAGGGGCAATGACAGCTGCGAGGAAGGAGATAAAAAGATTTATATCGTTCACAAGTAACACACAAGTGACAGAACTCTAGCCTAGCAACTCCGTGTATTTGTCACTAGCTCCTCACTCACCCCGAGTAAACTCGCAATGCCATCGGAATCTGACCCGTCCCAGGACCCCAGAAATCTGATCGTTTCCCCCGTAATCATGACGTACAGTCTCATCTATATGTATCATCGAGTCCCATTCCTCAGCTTCTTCTTCTGCATAGCCCTCTCATTACCTTCCGATCCGAGAGCGCAATTACTACTGCAATCGCTCCACTCATCACTCCAAACGTCAACACCATGGTCGCCCACCCAGCCTGATCAACCAGAAGACCCGCCATCAGAGGCCCAAGCACCTGCCCACCGGACCATGCCACATTAAACAGCCCGTATGCTTGCGCAGTGCCTCCCTGGTGGCCGAAAATGCCTGGATATTCCCGCTCATATCGCTCCGTGACTCGTCCCACCTCAACCATCAACGAGACCATCTGTAGGGTTGACGCGGCTCCAGCCAGAAAGAGGAAGACCACTAGCAGAACTTGATGCTGGACCGTGTTCTCAGTGACGAACTGGAAGAGGAGAAAGGTTGGACAGTCGAGCAAAAAGCCTAAGAAGGCGATTTGTAAGGCTCCGAGGCGGTCGACGGCATCGCCTTTGTGAACTCAAGGTTAGTCAAAGCCGGGTTTGGAAGTGGATATACGTACCGATCCAAGGGGACGCGAAGGACGGTGCGAACAAGGGCAGGAAGCACAGGCCTATTCCCATCGGGCCCCAGTCGAATGTCTTCATGACATAGAGTGGAAGGACCTGGACCACGATCAGTTGCTGCAAGAAAATGGATGCAAGAGGGTTGCAGTAACCACGGACCGTGTCAAATGAGGAGTACAAGATGGCATCGACGACAGTCGCCATCAACACAACCATCAATTTACCAGAGCATATCAGCCGAACAATGCCCGGTACGGACGTCTCTTTCCCGCTCGAGACGGGCTCACTGCCATCCTCGACCGGCGGTTCAACGAGCACATCATCAGGTGGACACAGCGAGCTTGCACTGTCCTGTTCACTGAAAGCGCCGTAACCGGTGCTCTTACCCAGCAAACCACTGGATTCTTCCGTCTTTGACGGAAGCCACTTTGCGGCCGTCTTCTGCTCGACCATAACCAGACGAAGACTGATATCCACCACAATCAAAGCGATCGCCAGCAGGAACACCGAATGGTACCCAACTCGCGAGAGCCTGCACGGGGACTCGTTAGCGACCATCTTCCTCCAACCCTGACAGCATGAATGCGCGAAACGTACATGATCCCGCCGATGAACGGGCCGAACACCGTTCCAACTGTCAAAGCCATAGAGACGTATCCCATGGCCGCCCCGACCTGGTCCTTGCCCACCGTGTCCACAACAAGCGCCATGCCGACAGTCCACACCACAGCTGCCGACAGACCTTGCAGAGCCCGCGCAATCACCAGCGACGACAACGACCTCGCGAACCAGAACACCACGGTCGTCCCGCCGAGGGCGAATAGGCCGATCATGAACGGAAGCTGGCGCGATGAGCTTCTGTCCGCGAAGTATCCGAAGATGGCTTGTGAGTTGTGACTGGTCAGGACCTATTCTCCGAGCATACCAATCGGCTAGCAGTGCAGGGCTATCTCTCACGAGAACCAAAGAAAATCCCGCCCCCGAAAGCAGCAAGCATGATCGACATCCATTGCTGTACTGCGAAGCTTTGTGTCAGTGGGCTTTTGTCTGCCAATACAGGCATAGGAAAACGTACGGTCATTATCCGGCACAGCGACTCGCGTTTTCAAGACAATCGGTAATATGGGCACGATCTAGTAAATGATCGTTCCAGTCAGACACAACTCGTCACCAGCATTCATCACCGGAGAACCGCACCATGCCATAGATGAAAACGTCCTGCGTGCGGCGAAACGGCAATTAGCATCGTGTTCAGGAAACAAATAAGCGACACCATCCTTATTTCTCCCCTCCCTCACTCACCGTAAAACAAGCAATGGCCACCACCCAAGTCACGAACGTCTTAGAAGAGCGAAAGGCCAACTTCCATGGTGGGGAATCGCAGTCTGTCGCTGCCATACCGAATGTTCCGCCGACAGGAGGGGGCGATAAAGTATGTAGAGTTCGGAAAGGGTCAACGACACGAACAAGTACCCGAGTCGCACATTATGGCCCAACGCCGTCTTAGGGAGTTTAAATAGCTCAGCGACATCGGCGAGGGGAACAGAAGAGGAGGAGGGGTTTTTTCTCTTCGACAAAGCAAAGCAAAAACCATAAAGTAAAGTAAAGCAAAAAGGGTGGGCTGAGCTGACAAGTCAGTTAACTATAGGCCTACGGTTGTGGGGAAAGGAGAACTAATGGGACTGATTTGCCCTTTTCTCCCTCTGCCTCTAAACTCGATGAGGTAAAATTTCGCAGAGCTGCATCGTCAGCGCATGAGCTGTCGGGATTGATTGGCATCGGCTGAGATCCGCAGAGTCTATCTATTGTTTCGGTCTACTGGTGTGTACAGTAGGGAACTAAAATTACTAGCTAGGCAGGTAGTTGGTGATATCCTTATCTCTATCATCGTGACCGCTCGTTGGTGGCTCCGGCCGAGATAGTGTGTATCTAGATGATAACTAAGGTCGCCTACATCCCGTGATAAATAACTCGACTAGATCATTCTATAATGGCACTATTGCACTAATCTCACGCAACTGACTTAAGTCCAAATTTGAAGACGGCAAAACATACGTGGACAAATTCACCGACACGAACGCGATGGGACAGGCGCACGCACAGATTGGTGTCCGAGTTGGACAAGATTCTGGTCCAGTGCTCAAGAAAACCACCAGTGCATGTCATTTAATGGCTCTCCACTGTCGTCATCATCTTCTTCATCATGCTATCAAACTGATTCGCTCGGATCGTCAAATTAGGGTCATGGATTCATCAGCGAAGCACAAGAACACGACTGACTCCCACACGCCGTTCCTGGACCCCCGCACACACGATACAGAAAGGAGAAGAGGAGTAAAATGTTCGTCGGTAATAAAAGAGCGATCGATGTTGCAAGAATGAATTATGAGAAAGAGAAGCCATGATTCAGAAACAGTTAACGTATACATTCACTTCCTTCACATCAGCCATCATGATCATTGGTGTATAACAGTTCGTCCACGTACATGGGAATAGCTAGCTCAGAGGAAAACCGAAGAAAACTGGAAAAAGAGGGGAAAAGGAAACTTTTCGACATGCTTGACTGAGAGCAATAACTAGATCCTGATCGTGGGCCTAGCCGGAACAGACAATCGGAAGGGGGGTAAAGAAGGGGAGAATGGTTCAAAGACGTGAAGACAACGGGTCATCAAAACAAATTAGCCACCGACATAACCAAAATCAATCCGGCTATTTTAAGAGAGCACACGGAGAATTGCTGTTAGGTCCAGGCCACGGCAGGGATCCAGTGCCGCGAGCTGGGACGCTCTGGCGGTAGTAGCGCGATATTTTGGTCAAGTGATGAACAGCTCTGGGGTATCGATGAATCTATGCGAATCGGCCACCGCGGCGGTTGTTGCGCTGTCTCCCCGAGCCAACCGTGCTCCAGCCCTCCTCGTCGGCGGCTCCAGCCTGGGCCTCAGCGGGGGCGCTCCGCCAGCTGCCGTTAGTCTTGTTGGCAGCCGCATCGGTAGCAGCAGCCTCAGCACCCTTAGCAGCCGTTTCCTCGCCCTGGTCCTGTTCAGCCTTCTCGGCACCCTCTTCCTCACCGGCCTGCCGGAGGATATCGAAGTTCTTGCCACCCTGAGGAGTGTCGGTGACGTCTCTTCCGTTGGGGTCAGCCGTGGACACCGGCTTGTCGGTCTTGCCCTGCTCCTTGGAAGCGCGTTGCTTCTCGCCCTTCTCAGCCTTGGCCTTCTCATCAGCCTCCTTCTTCTGGCGGATGGCAAGTTGGCGACGCTCCTCAACCTCCTTCTCGCGGGCAGCGGTGTCGATGGGCTTAGCTCCACCGAAGATGCTGGCCTTGGACTCGCCGCCGGCAGCCGGGGACGAAGACTCAGTCACAGTCCGTTTCTGGAGGTTCAACTTGGGGCGGCTAGGAGCGGCGGGAGCGGCAGGGGCGGCAGCAGGCGAAGGGGGGTTGCTGGACTCCTTAGGCTGATCGGGGCGCATTCTGGACCGCCATGCGTTGTCGAGGTCGGCAGCGGTGGGCGTGCGTTCTTGACGTTCTTGGAATTCGCGGCGAGGAGGACGAGAGCCATCCTGAGAGCGTCCCTCACCAGAGGGTCCCTCGTGGGAGCGGCCCTCACCCCAGGCGGGGGAGCTGCGTCTGAAACCAGGTCCTTCGTTGCTGCGGGGGCGCCCTTCTCTCACGGGGGCGGGAGGAGACAGAGGGCCCTTGCGCTCCCAGTTGCTGAAATCGCGGAACTTGCCATCGCTCTCGAAGTTGCTGCGACGGTTGTTACCGCCGCGTTCACTGCCTGCATCAGACATGTTATCCATGTTGCGGCCGAAGTTGGAGCGATCGAAGTTGGAGCGTTCAGGGACGCGGCGCTGGGGAGCATCCGGAAGAGGGCCCTTGCGGGTCCAGTCAAATTCCTTGACATCGCGCTCCTTGGCTAAAAGCGGTTGTCAGCCAGCATATAACAGTATCCAAGAGTAGCAACACCTACGAGGCTCAGCGATGCTGACACGGATAGCTCTTCCCTGAAGAGTAGCGCCAGAGAGGTCGAGAGCCTTCTTCAGACCATCGACAGTTTCAAACTCGACATATCCGAATCCCTTGGGGGCCTTGGTCAACTTGTCCTCCACAACACGGACGTTGGTCACACCGCATTCGGCAAAGAGATCGGAAATATCGGCAGAAGCCGCATCGAAGGACAGATTACCGACGTGGGCGGTATAGGGAGGCTGAGTAGGAAGAGGGAGAGGCTCTCTGACGGCGTAACCACCACGCTCGCGTTCTTTCATCGAATCATGTCAGCCTGGGAAATCCCTCGAACTAATTTTGTAGCGGAGAAGCCATACCACCAAATCCATTACCGAAGCCGGAAGAAGAGGAAAGGCCCATAGGGCGGCGGTCGCCTCCGAAGCTGGTCGAAGAAGGGGCTGGCTAATGATTAAATTGATGCCATCATGATGAGACTGAGGGTGCGCTCCAAAAGACCACGTACCGGCTGTAAATCATCGTACGATTAGCAAAGATCGTTAGAACTATTTCAGAATGAGAAACACTTACCAGGCAAAGGCATGTCGTCCATCTCATCAGCCCAAGAGCCGAGGGCTAGTCCTCATCAGTCATGTTCATCCCCGCGGGGGTATGGGGATATCTCGACGGACTTACACTCATCAGCCAAGAAGTTGCCTAGCGACATCTTCTGGGCTTTCTGCTTTCCGGGCGCTGAACATATGAAAGATACATCAGTAAATAGGGACATCCTTGAGGGGTAGAGAGGTGTGGGTTGCGACAGCGCGCAGGGCCACAGAGAGGGGTTGCAAACGAACCCATGATTGCGGTTGTTCAGAATCGGGGAAACGCGCCAAGGGGAGTTCCTGTGCGCGTCTCGGGGGTTGAAGGTGAGAGTTAGATGGGGTTGAAGAAGACTTCCGAATTAGAAGTCTTGAGAGAATGCGGAGGATGACGTGCAAAGGACGATGAACGATGGGTGGGTTGGGATGCAAGGAAGCTCCGCAGTTGAAGAACAGAGGGGAAAGTAGGTTTATCCGTGAGGATAATTTTTAGTGATGACACTAAAAAAGTCAGCCTCCAAAAAGTGTTGGTGCGGCTTTTGGGCCTGTTGGCGCTCGACCCAACCAAGTAAGTCCCAGTCCAGCTTCCCGAGGGCTTTTTTCCCCTTCCAGTCTTTCCCAGCCCGGCCCCCTCTTTTGCTTGGGACTCTTTTTGCGGAGAGAGAGACAAACTGTGTGAAAGTGAACCTCTCCACTTGAGTTTTGTTTTTTCTTCTTCTATTCTTTCTTTTCTCTTCTTTGAATCATGTGTTCACAATTCTTATTACAGGTTCAAATACCTTTAAGTCGTTTGCTGTGGGGGTATTTCTTTCTTCGCTTCTTACTCTTCCTTTTCACGCCTCATCCCGGCCGAGCGCATCTTCACTGCTCATGTCAGCCGGCAGATTTGACATGCAGACAACCCCCCCCAAAAAAACAAAAATCTTTTGCGGGGATGTTAAACATCACCTGTAATGTTTGTGCACCATGCTGCCTTGAATTATTCTTCTTCTTGACACAATTCTTCCCCGCGGATACATCCGCAACACTACTGCATGGAGACAAGACTTCTATTAGACTATTCAGCTTTCACCGACAAGAAAAATTAGGTAAGGCTTCTGCATTCTTGCCATTCTTCATGATTGTGTGTTACATGTTACAGCTTCTGGCCCCATTATCCCCTCAGCTGGCTGGGCACGAGGAAGCCAGGTTCCATGCCCGCTGTGAAACAAAGAGAAGTAAAATCTCGGGTGACTTGCAGCCACTTGAGGTTGCTGCATCCTCTCGCCTGCATCTTTACAATTGGACAGAAAAAATGAACCATTGCAGGCTTCCTTGTGACTGTCATGAAAGATCAGCTCGCTTAAGATATCAGACGGTCAAACTGGTATGCTGCTTTCAAACATTGGCTAGTAGAAGCGTCCGTGTAATGGGTTAGGTTTAGCATCAAGGTTTGCTGAGACATCAGAATGCAAGTCATTGTGCACTACTCGGCGCAAGGCGGGTCAAGAAAAGATGTAGACCCTCTTTGTATAGTCAGCATCATGAGCCGTCTTCCACTTTTCGCTTCACATCCAGGCATGCCATTAGACATGCCATTATATAATCAAACCCATATGCCCTGAATTTCGCCGATTGTCTTAAAGACGTCGGATTGCAAATGCCATAGATATGGACACAGACTGTGCTTTGGATGGCCATATGATATAAACGGTTTGAAATGACTGCTCGGCTTAGTCGGTCAATTGAACTTTGACTCCGTAGAGTATATGCATAGGGAAACAGTCGAAACCAGCCGCAGTATTCAGTGCGCACAGTGCTCAAGAAAAGGCTTCTGACTTAATTAAGTGTGTGAAAGAATTGTACATTTGCTGGCAAGTGCAATCGTGGGCACTTTACGCAGTACGCGACTCGTTTCGCTCGACAGAACGGACTAGCTTTAGAAAGGTGCCTGCGACAGTTGCTCCAAGTCAGCCACGGTGTTGATATAAAGATAGAAACTGCAAGATCAAGCATCCGAGTCTTGCGAGCGACGGACTACCCGATACAAGGTCTTGAAGCATTTTGTGACTTGTGTGGAGAAATATTTTCAATGATGCGTTGCAATTAGGCTAACGCTAAGAAGAGCAAGTATGCTTTGAAGCATTGCCGTCAACGTCCAGACGGTCAGTCATACTGTTGTCGTGTGCTCTCTTCGATTACCGCACACGCAGTACAAGCAATAGCACTGGGGGTTAAGTGAGGCCCAAGCAAATTTGTATGCACCTGGCCAGTGAGACGAGCGTATATTCAGTCGGGCAACCATCTAGACCGTAAGGTCTCATGAATCCGGCCAGAACAAGTCAAAAAATGACAATTGCAATAGAAGAGAAAGGGAAGAAGTAGTCAAGCTCTGTTCTTTAGGTTGATAACTGGACCCGCTTGGATTGCGGGCAGATCGAGACCCGCTGAGGTGACATCATCCTCCGCCCGCAATACTCGTTTCTATACGGTATAACTGATGTTGCGCTCTCAGCCTTGAATTAATGAGACTTCAGATATTTATGCCACTGACTGTGAATTCTGCAGACAGCATGTATGTAAGATGAATTAATTGCTGCTGAGTGCCGGTGTGGACATGGAAGGTCCAGAGCCTTTCAGATTCGCGATTATGCACACAAATACATGACAAAGCAGCATATCCCGAGCCCAGATCACGTGTGCCATTATGGTTTTCCCTGGCGATGAACCGATTACTTGGGCAATCGTCAGCCTAGAGTTGTAACTAACCAACGTACGAAGTAGATCTGAGGGTAATATTTGACTTCGATATCGACAGCGAGCAGGATGAGCGAACAGAAGAAGAGCCAGTCTACGTTTTTCCCGCTCGTCAAGGCAGGAGCTCTGAGCGGTTAGTCCCTTTAAACCCGGCGAAGCCTCCACGGTTGTACATTTTTCGCATCAATTCCATGATCCCATGTTCTTGCATAGCATGGCGATAACTGCGATGGCCCACTGACATGCCACGATAGGCTCTCTTGGACTGGTGTATGGAGGTGTTGCAGGTGTCATCCGGTCTCCTAATCCGGTGATCCATTCTCTATCTTGCGGTGTTCAATGGGCTGCAACTGGGAGCGGTTTCTGGTGTAAGTGTTCCCTCTTGGCTCCGTGTCGCGTTGATTTTAGCAGAGATCTGAGTCTCCCCCCTGCAGTCTTGAGAGAGAACATCTTAAAATATCATTTTGAAAACAATGCCGATTCTAAGCAACGCGCTTATGTCAGCGCTCTATCAGGGGGCATCGCTGGAGGCACCGTTACCCGACTACTAGGTACGTCGATTGATCATTCTTCGCTGTGGTCACTGCTGGGGAAAACTGCCTGCAATACTAATACCTGGCGTCAGGGGGTCGACTAATTCCAGGAGTGGTGTTTTTTTCGACACTAGGCTATCTGGGCCAAAGCACTTATAATGCGATCGACACATGGCAATTAGAAAAGGCCAACACTCCATCGAAGCCGATCCTTCAGCGGATCGCCGATTCAAAATGGATACCGCTCAAGTCCCTCTCCGATGATGATTACAGGGGGATCTTGCGCGAGAAGCTCCTGAGCATCGAGGCTGAGATCGCACTCCTCGATGAAAAGATTGAAGGGCTTGAGAAGCTCAAATCTCAAGGGTCAGATTTGTCCTCGTCCGACACATCCACCAGGTGACCAGAAAATCCAGCCCGTCAATTTCTACCATGAACGGCCTTGGTGTAATAGAATGTTACGGGTTAACATTTTCTCCCTGGCCTGTTGCAACCCTTGACCTAGCCACGCCGATGCGGAGCACCGCGAAGATCATGCGGCCATTTGGCTATTCTGGCATCGATGATTGTTCTATAGAAGGATTGCTCCCCCAAGGCGAGCCCTAGTGAACCTACGGCCCGCAAAAGCGCAGTAGTTATCACCATGTATAACATCACTCTACTATGTTCCTACTTGTATAACCCAAGAATCAGGATTCTACCACCCAGATTAGAGCTGTTGAACTGTTGTAGCATGAACTTAGCTCTCTTTCAAACGTCTTGTGCAAATACTCAAAGGCCATGGGACTTGAAATAACGTCAAACGAAATGAGTTTGCCTCCTATCTAGGTTCAGGGACCGCAACTCTATAGTAGGCATTGCAGCGATTGACGTGGTGTAAGCTAATGGTTGTACTGTACTTCCATGCAAGCAAAACGCCAGATGACCCGAGTGGCTGTCACAGGGGTCGTAGTCAAACTGGAAGGGAGTGCATGCGACCCAATTGACATGCAGGTTCAATTGACAGGCACCTTTAATTTTACGAATTTCAATAAATCTGTAAGCTGATCTTCAGACGAACCACCCCTAAAAGGCGGGCAAACCCACCCACCTTCAATACTACGTAAGCTGTTAACTTACATAGTACTAGAGTAACTTGTTACTTTCAGGCCTCGTACGAGGGGTGTACAACCGTATGGAAACTGCCGAGCCAGCCGGACGGTCCGGCCACTGGGCAAAAGTGGATGAGTGGCCCGGAGTGGGTGGCTTTCCGCTTCCAGTTCTGCCGCGTCGGGTTCGACCTTTCCCGCCGCTGACAGCTGGTAGGTTGTATTATCCATCCTCGATTATTCTTCGAGCTGCCTCAACTACGGTTGTTGCATCATCAAACATCCAACTCTTCCCCTTCGCCTCAAATGCTCGGGAAAGAACATACTCAAACAGAACAGAAGCATGACTGACTTAAAACTGGCCCGTCCTTGTCGCATCATCTCCCCGGCTGGTCGGCACGTCTCGTATTAACGGAGACCTGTCCTTCGCCGGTTCCGCAGACAGGGAATACATCCCCCCCCCTCTCTCTCCCTCGAGAACAGGAGGATCGCGGGCTCGATTCAAGGCTGTTCGTCCGTTCGGACTGTTTACTTATCGTGGCTTGCGATAGCCTCCTTTCGCTCATTACCCTTATATAGATACCAAACGACCTATAGCATCTCCATGATTTCTTGGCTGACGACTCCCCGTCCTGTGCAACCGGTCAGTCCCGCTGATCGTGAAATACGATGACGCTCTTCAGTCCGACCACGATTCTCGTGGGCTTCCTTTTCTTATACCTCCTATCCTTCCTTATATTCGCCATTGTCCGAATTGCGACCGGAGTCTCCATCCAGCGAATAGGATACCTCTCTCTCCGTCGAATTACCTATGTCCCGAAAGATGGCGTGCAGATCGAACTCCGTGGCCTCGGGCTGTCCTTACATCCACCGTCATTTGCGCAACCTACATGGCTCAGTCTCAAGCTCACAGAGCTCAAAGTGACGCTGGATCCGTCAGTTTTGGGAAAAGCTCGCAAACCAGTGAACAGACCCGATGTCTTGGAGCCGCAGAGTCCTTCGGAGGACGATGATTCGAACAAGGAAAGCACGGAAACGGCTGGGCACAACGCTAAGCAGCGGAGTAAGACGTGGAAGAGCTTGATGCGCATCAAGGAGCAAGTGAAACAGTTACATCGGAAAATTCATTGGTTGAAGTTGGTGGATGTCGTGGCCGTCAATACTACCATCAATATTGTCGAAGCTGGTCAGATACAAGTGGGATCGCTGTCCCTGGGAGTCGATACCAGGCGCAAAATGGTCGATCGAGGCACTTTGTATCGGTCTGGGAAAACCGATGCTAGCGAACAGAAGCCCGCTGAGTGGATCATGAACGTTCAGAATGTGCTCCTGGCCGTTGATGGAGGCGAATCGACCGAAGTGCTGGACAATATTCGCGTGCATATACATGGCCTTCTCCATAAAGGACTGGATGGTCTCAGAGATGCTTCGATAGCTCTCAAGGTTGGAAGGATGCATGTTCCGTACGACGACTTGATGACATTCATGCAGCGCGTCAAGAAATCCAAGCAGTCGCCGAAAGAGCCTGTGGATAGCAACAACACTGACGACGAGATGTCGTTTGCTGACTTTGTCGAAGAACTTGATCAACCTGGGAGTAGGGATGACTCAATTGTACAGACCGTCGCAGATTCGAAAGAGTTTGCCGGTTCTATACTACGCGGCATACAAGGGATCCAGGTGGCGCTGAGCTTTTTCCGCCTGTCTCGGGCTTTTCAACCGTCGTCCGAAAAGCAAAGTCCAATATTTCTCAACGTCGTATCTCACGAGATAGGCATCGACTTACACCGAATGGATCAGCAGAGTCCTGCCCATCGGATGTACTTTCAGCGCAAGGACGTCGCGCATCAGGCTCTTCTTGCCGCCATCTCTCTCTCGGTCAGCTTGGACGATGGCTCAGGTGAAAGCGACAACATACTCTACATCCCGATGGCCACAACCACGATAAAGACCACTCTTCCTTCCAAAACCATCAGCTCCTTTGACGACTACAACCCGGAGGAGCGCAACACTAATATTCTGTTTGCCAATTTGGTGGTTACCTCACCTTCCCTTGATCTTGAGCCAAGGCAGGTTTCTAGACTCCTCGGCTTGTCACAGTCCCGCAGGCCATCACCCAGAGGCAAAAAAAGAGACAATAATCGCTTGATATCGCGATTGCTTCCCAAAGCAAGCATCAAAGTATCCATTCACGAGCCGGTGGTTAGATTTGTTCTGCCGATTACCAGCCCCGATCGAACCTCCAATGATGACTACAATCT